TCGTTAATAGCATAAGAAAAAATGTCATCCTGGAACAACTCAACGCCATTCAGGCCACCTCCACTGCCGTACCAAGCAGAGATATCAATCTGAAAGGCATCCATACCAACCGAATTCACGAAGTGAAAGTCCTGATATGGAATACTAGCATTGTTGCTCAAAGGGCATTCCGATGTACATGTTGCATTAGCACCTGTAGCCGGATCGATGTAAGTAAAGTTCATGATACCATTGATTGGCTGAGCTGTATATCTCCAAGTTCTGGTACCTCGACCATCTTGGTGTGTATTCCATAATCTCAACTTGGTAGGCTGAAAGCCAAAGCCGAACGTAGCTTTCCACCAGCCAGCAGTATCATCCTTCAATAACCAAGTATTTCCAGAGCCATCAATACCATTAGTCTTGCAAACAATGTTTGTTGGATCGTCAAAGCCCGTAGTTGTGGCTGTGCCGCTGCTTGTGATGTTGGCGCCAGAAATGTTAACAATTTGCTGATCAGTTGCATTCCTAGGTTTGCTGGTAATCGTTGCAGTAGAATTTCCTAGTCCTGTGAAAGCTCCCCCAAAGATGATATTTCCGTTCGACGCCTTCGAGATCGAATTGACCCGACCGTTGAATCCGGAGAAAGGTAGGGCGACCAAGGTATTGTCTACCAACTTGATTACATTTGAAGAATTTGTAGAATCGAAATAACCTCCAATGTAGACTGCATTTGTTGTCTCATCGCACAAAAGTGCCGAAACTGACCCTGATAATCCCGGGAGTGCAGTGATTGCCGATGTCTTTGAATTGAACAATGCAATGCCTTGCGATTCCACATTCCCCAAGCTCGTAAAGTTACCTCCGATTACTACCCCCACGAGTGTCCCATCCGATTTGACGTACGGGCACATGGCTGCGATTGAAGCATCGGCCGATGCCAAGGACTCGAATTCACCCGTTGGAAAGCGTACCATAACGGATTGGGTCGTAGTATTGTAGCCATCTTCATTTTGACCAATGTATTTATATAGCGAAATACCATCAAAATCCCCACCAAGTCCTACACGTCCCAAATTCGAAAGGTCGAGGTTGGCGGATGGAGCCGGTTGGAAAGTGATCGCATTCGTTAATGGCGTCAAGGTCAATAGAAAAGAGAAGGCTATTATAGATGGCGAATTCCTAGCTGATGGACTCAGCCATGATGAGAACCTCATTGCTGTTCCCCTCTGAAAAGTATTAATAAGTAATTATTCGTGTCGCAAAAATTGTGAGAATTAAAAGCTCGATGGCTTCTCCTCCTCCACTTTCGTGATTAATTGCATTGACTTGACGCGCGACGCTCTAAGCCATTTAATTGTCCTCCGGGATGGTGTATAAATCGATGGAAATTTTTCTTTCGTGGATATATTAGAGAAGTGATATTCCGTCTATCGAAGCATATAACGAGTGTAGAGTTGTGTTGTGTTGTGTGTTGGTGTTAAAGGTGGAATGGAGTCGAAGGAATCTAAAGTGATAGACAGTAATCTCACTCACAGACAGAAAGGGCAAGTCGCCTTGATTGGATGGGACTAGATTCGCGTGTTGGGCTAATGAGAGAGATTAAGTATGGATCAACTTTTTTTTTTTTTTTGTACCAGCGTGGTGAATGGTGAGCCTCGGGTGTTCAGGAACCAGGAACCAATTTCAAACTAATAAACGGGCGGTTATTGTTAGGATAATCCTCCTTTGTCGTTGATAAATTCAATTTCTCTAGAGACTTTGCGTGAAAATGTACAGATCGATCAATCTGTAAGGGAGAGAGATGATGTATCAATCTTCTGTTTCTTTCTTTTCTGGACAATGTTGTGTTGGTGGCATATGTAGGTATTATTATCGATCGATGGAATTGCGCAGTCTGTGAAACTAGCTGGAAGTTTGGTGGAGTGTTGTCTTGGGGCAGAATTGCTGTTTACAGGATGCCAAGCGAGATTGAGATTGGTTGTTCGAAGTGAAGGCTGATTGATGGCGGATTTGAATCCAATGGTGGGTGGAATCTGGATGAAGTGGGTGGATGATACGAGAACGGTTAAAAACGTTAAAAAGAAAAGTGTAATCGATGGATACGGTGATGATCGACTGTGTATACGTGAGTGTGGTATGTGAAGTGTATGTTGAAAAACGAGTGTGTGGTTGGCGATGAATTGATTGAACTTGATACTTGAATATTCTGCTGTGCTTCAACAATCGACGAAAGAGAGAAGTTAGTCTATGTTGTACCTATCTCCATCTTGGACCCTGGCTCTCGGTGTATCTTTTTCCTCTTCCTTTTCTCTTGCATATGTATGTGAATGTGAATAAAGCGCAGCACTGCATTTTTTGGCAAACGGGCAGGGCATAAACAGGGGCAGAAATTGTGACACGTACCGGTGTTGTACGATGTTTGGGCAGCCAGCAGTGACAGAATCGAGAACAACAAAGAGATCGATTGATCAAAAACACGACACACGAGGAAAAGGGTTCTGATAAGAAAAGACAGTGTTTCTGATTTGCAGGATGAGAGAAAAAAAACGAGTGACAAAAAAAGTGAGTGTGAGTGTGAGTGTGAGTGTGGGTGTGGGTGTGTATGAGTACGTAGAAATTGAAAGATTTGACTTTTTTCTGATGGATGGTACAAATTAGGAGTAGAAGAGCATTTTGGGAATGGTGGGAAGATGAGGAGATGAGGAGATGAGGAGACGAAGAGATGGATGGATGAGCACAGAGTCCTTTTTTGGGGATGGATGGATGGATGAATGGATGAATGGATGAATGGATGAATGGATGAATGAATGAATGAATGAATGAATGGCTTGGGTGTTGAGCATAGCACTCATTATTTTACATTTTCAGATGATGATGAAACTATCAAGGCACATCCCATCTCTCGACTTTCCTAAATGGGATTGAAATGCTACTGGATACTACTAGGTACTTCTCTTCAGTAAGCTTTTGCTTTTGCTTTTGATTTATTGGATTGATTTGACTCTGCGGCAAAGAGTTCATTGGGTCTCTTAACATCGTGTGGTAGAACTATGAATAGAATGATACATAGTCAACATTTATCAAGACATGCAACATTGATTCGAGTGACAACCATTTTAATTGCTTCAGTATTATTAATACGATACAATACAATACGATACGGTACTGTACTGTGCATCATGTCAAACATCTGATAATCTTCATCACCTCGGTATGCAGTACTTCTGCTAGTACCTACACATTATCTTATGCTGTGCAGCAGTCAGATCTTCCATTCCTCACTTGGTAAGGTTGCCATGGCTTTCTTCTTAGGAATCTACCTATTCTTTTCTTACCCAGAAACCAAATGCCTAGAGACCAACTTCTCAAACATCAATAGATACAAAACGGTCTCCGATGCTTGTAACAAACATTGCTTGCCTGAGGAGGAATACTTCTCAAATGATACCTACTACTTACTACCTTACCTACGCATGAAGAAACCGATCATGGTTCAGGTTCATCCCTTTCCACTCAATCATCCTTCGAAATTAATTGTCATGTATTTATTTCAACCTTTCCCTTTGTTTTGCTAGCGATTCGTTCCATTAATCGTTTTACCCCTTAAAAATATCATTCTACAACATCCATCTCAAGATCTATATCAATGTTCTACTATTAATAATGACGATAATAGTAATAGTAATAATAACATATCATTCTTCGATTCGAAATACCAAGACTCAAATCCCATCCATTCACTCATCTTCTCAATAAACAATCAATAAATAATATACGGGGGGTATCTATAACAATCTATCATGCTTCCTTCCATCCTCCCCTCATTTATTTCATCATGTTCGCTGCATTCGCCGTGCGGGTCTTATAATCTCTCGGGCTTTCGTACTCCTTTTTCTTCCCCGACCACATGCCCAATTTCTTCCTCTTGGCCTCTTCTTCAATCGCTCGATACTGTGCCTCAAAGTCTCCAAATTCCGCTCCCATCTTAGCCTCATACACCGTAGCCATCCCCGCCCTCAACATCTCCCTTCCTACATCCTTGCGCACGAGAAATCGGCGCACCCACACTGTAGCCACCACCCGATCATATTGGTCGCGTTTGTAGACGTAAGCGCGCACGCGTCGATTCTGAATATAATCCCGCAGCCAGATCAGCGCTTCGGCGGAAAAGGGTTGTGCAGCTTTCCCAAAATGCGCGCCTTCTGGTGCGTCGACTCCGGCGATTCGAACGTGGATCTGAGGATTGATTAGCCCGTGGAAAATGTGATACACCAACACAACAGTGTGCGAATCCTACCGTCTTGTTCTTCAAATCCTTTCCCTCGGGTAACTTCTTGCGGCCGGGCATCCATCCCCAACCCGCCAGTCTCCCGCCAGGCGTGTGGAAAAGGTGAAAATTATCTGCATCGCCCACTCTGGTAACCGTCCCAAACAAACTCCTCTTCCTGAAGAATCCGGGTCGAATATATGTAGCTTCGGGAATGCGACGTAAATAAGAGCGATAGAAGCGCGTGGAAACCAAAATGGTGGTGGTCAACAAAATTGTCGGAATCAAGGTTCGCGGATCCGTGTAATGCTGCCAGTCCGTGGCATTGAGATTATCGCCCCATGAGAAGGAGGACCGAGTGGCATTGTTTTCTTCCTTCTTGGATTTTGAAGAAAAGTCTAGCCATCCCATCGTGTCGGCGGGCAGTACCAGTCTGGAAATGATGTGGAAGTGGGGAGATTGCTGCTGCTCAATGCTGAGACAGGGGTCCTCTTATGATCCGAGCTTCGGGGAAAAAAAGTGACATTGATGTTCAAACAAACACGCAGAAAGATATCAGAGGAAAGGCCATCGTGAGCTAAAAGACGACCTTGGAAATGTCCAAGAGCTTCTGAAACAACGAATTGATAATTGAAATATGTTTATGTGTGCATAAATCCTATAGCAAAGTTCCTTAATCTAATGAAAAGTATCTGTGTCAAATTTGATGTAGTTTACATTTATAATACAATATTATACAGCTTCTGAATGCTTATAATTTCCTCCTCTTCGCTCTGACGCTTCTTGCCGATGGCTCAAACACTTTTACTTCATCCTTGATTTCGATACCATCCGTAACACCTTCGCGTTTAATCACTACTTTCTGTTCTTCTTTCAGATCCATCTCTTCTGGTGAATACTCTCGCTTGACTGTTACTTTCTTCTCCAGAACATCCCCATTTTCTTGCTTGATCTCGAGCTCATCAACTCTAACTTCGACCTTGCTGACAAGTTTATCAGAAAATGCTTTCAAATCTGCTGCGAACAAGACTGAGTGCGCCCAGCCAGCCTCTTTACCCCATAACCCTCTAAAATGATCACCAATCGCATCGTATGTAGCCTTGGTAAGACTCTTATGTTTTCCTTTTCCAAATTTGTAGTCCCTTTGAGCAATTTGCCAAACGTGAGTGTCCACAGGAACCGCCTCTCCCCACCCCAAGCCCATCAAGCAAACGCAGTCAGCTACTTTTGGACCAACCCCTTGAAGCTCGAGAAGCTCTTCATGTGCTTTTCTATACCCAGGACGTCCTCCTGCGGGAATATCCCCTTCAAAGGGCTTGTCAAAAGTCTCTGGGTTGCGAAGATTCTCGAGCCAGCCTTTTGGCTTTGATGCCACAAGTGATGCTGTTTGAGCAATGTACTTTGCTCGATACCCAAAGCCTAGAACGCGGAGATGTAATTCTACTCCAGCACCAGTCAAGGCTTCAGGTTGTGGGAAGTCATGGAATGGTTGATCATCAATATGTCCTATCAGGGGACCATAATGTAAACACAAATTATTGACCTGAATCAGAATGATTAATAAGATCATCGAAACCCTGAGATCAGAAAACATACCATTTGAGAAATTCTTATAATATTATTGTTGCTACTGCAAATAAATCCCACCAAAGCCTCCCAAGCATCTTGTTTGAGAATGCGAACTCCGGTAAACTTGGGGGCTCTTTTCTTGAAATTTGGATCAACCAAAGACCATTGTTCATACAATTCAGTCAAGTTTGGTGAAAGGTTTAAGTAATGCCGAAGTAAAGATTCTGTGTCATCCTCATCTTCAAGCTTTTTCTTTACTGAAGGCTGATGATTCGAAGGAACTTTGACATCAGGAAATATTGTGCGATAGTGAAGATGAGTTGAGTCTTGTTTAAGAGATATTATACGGCCATGTAGTGTACAAGACCTATTCAAGATTAGCCCCCTTTCTTTCGACTACACTACAGTATAAGGAAGAGAGTCACGTACCAATAATCTTCATCGACAGCTTTCTTCCACCGAAATGATTGTCCACAACGTAATGTAGTATCTATACAAAGCTCTGCCAAATTCACTGCAAGCTTCCTCCATTCTGAGATCTTTAAATTGCCCATTGTGAGAAAGCGATTGTGATTTTATGGGGGTTGGATGAAATCCACCTTGGCGCGCTTTACAGGAACAACGTTTCTAATCTTAGCGCGAAATTCAAATAAGATTCGCGACAGCTTCTACAAAAATTCCGCCTCGGGTTTGAGCTTGTCAATCAACCACAATCAAAATCGCACCTATCTATTTTTTCCCCAAAAAATATTCTGGATCGCAATTAACAATATGAACGGCGATACATATTCATCAAGAGGCATGGCACCTTCAACGACAAAACCTAAAAGGGAAGATGGAGCTACTACTGACAAGAAAGCATCAACAGATCGACATGGTTCGTCTAGAGATTATCACGTAAGAAGGTTTCATCAATTATTTCAAGGTCAATTTATCTAACATATTAAAATAAAAGTCCCGAGATGATCGACGTGGTGGTGATAGAGATCGAAGACGCTCGCGCTCTCCAGGACATCGAGGCTCCAGAAATTCTCGCCGCGATGGAGAATTAGATACACGGGGTGCGGATTCTTACTCGACGAGTCGCGAATACAGAGAGCGGGAACGTGAAGATAGGTATTCGGGCAGGGAAAGAAGAGGTGGTGGTGGCGAGCGAGAGTGGGATAGAGATCGTGGAGCAGCAAGACGAGATGCTAGAAGGGACGATGATGAAAGACCGCCGCGCAGAGATAACAGAGATTTATTCGACGATAGACGTGGTGGCGGAGGTGGTAGAAGGGGTGGTGATCGAGGCGACCGAAGAGATCGTGGAGATCGTGGAGATCGTGGAGATCGTGGAGATGCCGACGGAGGATTCGCAGCTCAACGAGCCGCAAAGCGAGACAAGAGTCCAACACCTCCACCAAAGAAGAGAGAGCCCACACCAGATTTGACGGATGTTGTATCAGTTTTGGAGCGCAAGAGGAGATTGACACAATGGGATATCAAACCACCAGGATATGAAAATGTTACTGCGGAGCAAGCTAAACTTTCGGGCATGTTCCCACTTCCAGGAGCACCACGACAACAACCCATGGATCCAAGCAAGCTTCAAGCTTTTATGGCACAACCCAGTGGACAAGTCACAAATGCAGCTCTCAAACCTTCAAACTCCAGACAATCAAAACGGCTCCTTGTTCATAACATTCCTGCTGATACTAAGGAAGAGACTATTGTTAGTTTCTTCAATCTTCAGCTTAATGGATTGAATGTCATTGAGGGTTCTGATCCTTTAATCTCAGCACAAGTTTCGAAAGATGGCTCATTTGCTTTACTTGAATTCAAAACACAATCTGATGCTACTGTTGCTTTAGCATTGGATGGAATTACCATGGATGGCAATGACCATATGGAAACAGGAAATGGCTCCGCAGATACGCGAGGTCTTTCCATTCGTCGTCCAAAAGATTACATTGTACCAGCCGTTACTGATGAAACACCATTCGAACCAGGTGTGATTTCTACCGTTGTAGCTGATACTCAAAACAAAATCAGTGTTACTAATATTCCTCACTATTTGAATGATGAGCAAGTTACAGAACTATTAGTGTCTTTCGGAGAGTTGAAGGCTTTCATATTGGTCAAGGATAGCAATACAGATGAATCACGAGTAAGTACACGATCATATGTTCTTGATCAGATACTAACATTGTTTAGGGAATTGCTTTCTGTGAATATGTGGATCCTGCTGCAACTGATATTGCTGTTGAGGGTCTTAATGGTATGGAGCTTGGTGATAAACATCTCAAAGTTCAGAGAGCTAGCATTGGTAACACCCAAGTATCTGGTTTGGAGATGAGCGTCAATGCTATGTCTATGCTTGCTGGTACTACGTCACAGGATCTCGAGAATGGCAGAGTATTACAATTACTCAACATGGTCACTCCTGAAGAACTCATTGATAACGAAGATTACGAGGGTAAGTCTTAACTGTTCATCTGTTTGAATATTTACTGATCAATCCCTTAGAAATCTGTGAGGATGTCAAGGAAGAATGCGAGAAATATGGCAAAGTTCTGGAAATGAAAGTCCCAAGACCAACTGGTGGCAGTAGACAATCAACTGGAGTTGGTAAGATCTTTGTGAAGTTTGACACACCAGACTCAGCAGGAAAGGCTCTCAAGGCCCTCGCGGGTAGGAAATTCGCAGATCGTACTGTCGTTACTACCTACTTCCCGGAGGTAATTCTACACTCCTTCCTTTTCACTCGAAACATTGCTAACCTTCGCCAAGGAAAATTTCGAAGTCGGCGCATGGTAGATACTGGATCAACATACCGGATTTATCACCACGATCCCCTTCCAGAGGTCCTTACTTATCTCCCTGGTACTCATTACTCACGAAACGATGTAATGCAAAATTTACTCACAAAAGGAAGTTTTTCTTCTTCCTCGTCACACAAAATACTATATCTTCTGTACTTTTAGCATTATAGCATCCATCCATTGGCGAGTTTTTAGGATTCTCACTGTTACTGTTTCAGAGCAGAATCGATAGGAGTCTTTATATGACTCGAGAAAGCAAATTAGTTTACTACTTACCTATCTACCTACCTATAGTTTCAAATAGGTTCTTTTGTTTGCGAATTAACCGATTTGATTGTCTAGCGAGATATCTAGCTTTAGCGTGAATTTCAACTATGTTATTAATGATATTAGGGGGTGGGGGTGTGTATGCTTTATGCTGAAGTTGAAATTGATATGTGAATCTTGTTATTGATGATGAGAGTTTGTGGTTGTGTGATTTGAATGAATGAATGAATGTGTATGTGTGTATGTAAATATATGTTTGATCTTCTGTAATTAAATGAATAGAGCAATAGAGGTATGAATAATCAATCGACTAACTAGTTAATTGATTACGAGTAATAAACACCAGTCAATCTCAATTTCTGTTAGGTTTCTAGAAGACCCTCTATCTATCTACCTATCTATCTAGCATTCTATTTAAGGCTTTCCTTCTCTAGCATATTTATATTGTCTCCTGATGGCTGGTGTTGGGTTGGGTTGGGTTGGGTTGGGTTTAGTACCTTTTCTTTGTTTATTCTGAACCTAATCTCAGATTTGGGGAATTGTTCGAAAGAAGATATTTTGGGGAAGGGGGGGGGGGGGGGGGTTAGTTGGTATGTGTATATGGAGGTATGGAGGTATGGAGGTATGGAGGTATGGAGGTATGGAGGTATGGAGGTATGGAGGTATGTATGTAAGAGGGTTTGATGGATTGGGAAGATGGATTGGGAAGATGGATTGGGAAGATGGATTGGGAAGATGGATGGGAAGATGGATTGGGAAGATGGATTGGGAAGATAGAAATGGAAATGGAAATTAAATTAAATCGGATTGGTTGGTTGGCAGGGAAATTTATTTATTTACTTAGGTCGGTAGGTAGGGAGGGAGGTAGGGAGGTAGTTAGGTAGTTAGGTAGATAAATAGATAATATTAGTTGATACATGGTTGTTTTATGTTGTGTTGTGTCATGTGTAGATACTTAGATACTTAGGTATGATGAGACTACTTGACTACTTAACTAGTTAGTTGATTAGTTGATCAATTGCTGAATAGATAGATTCGGCGTCATCTTTCCAAAAATCATTGAGTTGGTAGGTGGGGATATCGAGGTACTAATCCTAATACTGATGCTAATGCTAATGCTTGTGATTAAAGTTATCATTGGGGTTGGGGTTTGAAGAGTGAGAGTGGGCAGTGAGTTGATTTTGATAGGTGGTGAATGGTGTGTAGTGTTTGATATCTACTACCTAATACCTAATACCTAATCATCCCATTGTGACCCAGTTTGATTTTATTATGATCTACTCATAATCTACTCCTATTGGTGAGATGTAAAAATATGTATACTTGATATATTCATTCGAGTAGATGGAGATGGGGATGGAGATGAGAAGTAGATGAAAATGGAGAGTAGATATTTAGATACTATAACGTGATTTATCAGTGTGCGGGTCATATCAGTGTGCGGGTCATTTTCACCTCAATTCACTCTTTCAAACTCATATTATTCAACAACCATTGAATCAATTGATTAAAACTATGAAAATTATAATAATCTAGGATCTATTATATTATCTTGACAAGTTCTTGCATTATGTCCGGTCTTTCCGCATTTACTACAGCATCGACTAGAAGATGCTTCTTCATTAGAATTCCTCCCTTTTTGACGCTCGTCGCGTTGAATCTGAATATCAACCTCTTGTTGAGATAATATATCAAGAGCTTCTTGCCCAGTAAGTACTCCTCCTTGACGTAATTGGGTTTTTTTCGCGCGTCGACGCTTGCTTAATGCCTCATTTGCCTTTCGAAGTGTACGAATCTCTGCATTCAAAAGTGTATTCTCATGAGCTAATCTCTCTGTACCTTTAGCTAGAGCTAGTACAGTCTCAAATATAGGTGTAGGGGAGCTTGATTGATGTCGGGTTATTCGAGATTTCACTAAAATTGATTGAGAAAGAGCTTCAGTTGGGTTGTGAGGGGTTTGAGAGATCCATTGATCTAGATCGAAAGAGGGAGGGGTAGGTGTACGAATTCGAATATCTAACTTCGAAAGTACGGCTTCAGGGTTAAATGGTATTAAACCTGTTCCTCGAAATCCTGATTTCATATTCTGAGAGATGATTGATTCTTTATATGCAGCTTTAAAAGCTATAAAGAATTCAACCTTCGAAATATGATTGATATGTGCCTTGATAAATCCATCAATTTGACCACCATATGAACGTTTCAGATTGCTAAAACAGCCCACATCAAGTGGTTGAGTTAAATGACTTGAATGCGGTGGTAGACTTAAGCATATAATATCGTTCTCTTTGCAATATGCTTGAAAAGCTCTTGATTCATGGCTTTCATGCCCGTCTAGTACCAACATTCGATACCTGCCCTTTCTTCGGTTCTTAGTGTGCTTGTCGAAGTGTTTCAACCATTCTAAACCTGTCTCATTGTTTGTCCATCCATTAGATGTAGGTTTAATAGCCCAATCCGCAGGAAAATCGGTTTCGGTATACCAATTGGAAAGATGAACCTGTCCTTGAACCACTAGAAATGGGGGTATAGTTTCACCCTCCCCATTGCCACATATGATTGCTGTAGCCCATTCTCTATTGCCTGGTTGTATTGCCTTGCTTCTGCCATTCCGTTCAGCACTAGTTACTACCATTCCGGGGCATATTATACCCATCATAAAGCCCGTCTCATCGAAATTGTAGAAATCGCCATCCAAAATGCTGTATTTCGCTCGCATATTCGCAACCAATCGAAACCACTCTTCAATAAGCTTAGGATCTTCGCAGAGAGCTCCTTGAAAGTCATAAACACGACTAAAACGTGTCTTTAATTCGATTCGACGCTTTACGAATCGATGCGCCCAGAGCTTCCCAACGCGCTTTGCACCCCTCGATTCAAGAATATGATTCGCCATATCTTCTACATTTCTTAATTTAGGTGGAAATCCTCTCAAATCCATATCAATTATATATTCAGAAATGATATTCTCTTCTAGTTCTGAAAGATTATAAGATTTAGGTCGATATTCGGAACGGGAAGTAATACCATTAATTCTACGCTGTAGTGTTGTATTCGAGATATTATATATCTTTGCAACCTTTCGAATACTTGTTTTTTTGTCTTTTTGAATAGCTTCGATAGCGAGGAGTATAAGGGCTTCTTGATTATTCGAATCCATTGTGGATTGTTGATAAAAACGCGTATTGAAAGAGAATAGAGTGAATTGAGGTGAAAATGACCCGCACACTGATATGACCCGCACACTGATAAATCACGTTATATCTTTTGAACTTAATAGTTTGGTCTTGAAATCTCGATGGTGTAGATGTGATATCTGTGCAAGAGGGGTCTTGAGGCTTGAGTTTTGAGGGGGAATATTAGTTTCTGAATCATGGGAAGGATTTGTGAGATTCGGTTTAGTCTGGGAGGTGAGAGGTTAGTTTCGTGTTGTTGGGGAAGGGGGGGAGGGAGAGGCGAAGGTGGGTGGACTATAGATGATGGAGAGAGAGGAGAGGGAAACGGGAGAGAAAGGGGATGAAGCAGGAACAATGAATTTAGAGACAAAGATAGATGAACAAATAGATATATAGATTAGTGATTTATCCAATAAATATTGTGTATATTAAAAATTTAAAGTCTATTTATTTATACGCGGATATGAAGATATTGAAACTACACACTTGTCAGTCGATTAGTTGATTAGTTGATTAGAGATGACTGTTATAACTTTATTGTTATTCTTGGTATCATCATGGGTTGGCGAAGATAATATAGTACTAGGTATGATGTGATTCACACTATGGGAATTGGAGTCTTACTAAGGAAGTGAGAAGTGAGAGGATGAAATTAACTTATATGTTGTAGTACTAGTGACGAGGTGGCGGCATGGTTATATAGTGCTTGTTCTAATGGGTATAGATGTTTTTTGTGGGGGGGGCGGGGGAGACTATGGATGATAGATCGTGTATGATGATGGTTACATGAGATTTGAGATTCTCGGATGGTGGATGGCAAAGGGAGGGGGGCGAGAGAGATTTCTGATAGGATGTCTACAAGATGGAAGGAATTACAGAAGAGAGAGGCGAAAAGGGATAAAAAAAGGGAAGAGGACAGGAGAAGGAAATGTTCTAGGACTTTCCTCGTTAATTTTAGTTTGCGGGCACGAATCACGATTGGGAATGAATCTGAGTCCCCTGTGGTGATAGAATTAGTGCTTGACGAAGTAGACTTTTTGTTATTGTAATAAATTCTTTAATCCTTTAATTCTAAATTGAATAAATCGTTTTTAAAGTATTAATATAATTAATCTAAATTTTTGTAGTTTATGAAGTTTATTTTAATCAATAGGGTTTTAATGAATTTCTTGAATTTCGAAAGCTAATTTTAACTTTTAATTTAAGACAATCATTTTCAAATAAAAAGATCTATTTATATGAAAATCAAACTATATTATTTAATTAATATATTCTATATTGTATAATATAATAATAAAGCTTTTAATTAAAGAATAAATCGAAGGTAAAGTAATACAATAAATGAACAAATCTTCTTTTAGATTTTCGATTAATATCTTTCATTTATTCTAGCCCCTATATTCACTCCTCTTTTCCTTTTCTTTAGCTTCTATTTACCTTTATAACCTCCTTTTAATCTTTACATACATACTCTTTTGTTTACCTTTCCTACAATTCTAATATTCAAAAATCTTGAAATCTTAAAAGTCCTTATTTTCTTTTTTTCTATTAAAATTCAATAATAAACGAATTACATTTTATACTAATAATATTTATTATTAATAAAATCAGCATTTCGTTAATAACAAAAAAGAAATTAATATTATTATATATATAATAGAAATTTATATAAGGATTTATACTGAATTTCTCTTCATCTATAATATTAACTTTGCCACCATAGGGGTCTGAGTTCAAGAAGTAGAGTGGACTAGAGTAGAAGTTTAGGAGTTTATGGCGGGTGAGGGAGTGAGTTGAGGGGATGAGATGAGATGAGGGGATGATATGTACACTTGTAACTTGTTAATTTCCTACATGTGGTGTAATGTAATTGATTATCATGCTTTAGATTGTATACCTAACCTATGCGAGGGTTTATGGTGATGTGAAATTGGGATAGGGGGAGATGTATGTGATATCGATACAAGTGTATGTTA